AAAAAAAAAAAAAAGAGTTTATTTCAGTGAAATCAAACAGCCCCAGTTGATGAGGAAACAGTTTTCCAATAAAAAACTAGACATTCTCATGGTGCCAAAGTAAAACCCAAAGGTGACATGGTCATAAAGGGGAAGATGAAAAGACCAGCTATCATTCCCTTAATCAGGGGGTCACAGTAGCATCATTAATGGGGATAGCCCGGATATCATATCTCTCCTGGTAGAGGCACAATGCCTCCTAGTCCTCATGTTGAACTTGAATGTATGAAGCCTTCAGATCTGAGTTCCAGTTTTCATGGAATACAGGTAATCATGGAACCTGTTAACAGACACCATGAAGAAACGGCCGGAAAAATCCAGAAGGTGAGACATTCCGCAAAACTACTGCTTTGGTCTCTCTGGCAAGTCATGAAAAAGGGACTGTACTAAAATAAAAGGCACAGAACAGCCAATCCACAGGCACCAGGTGGATCTTGGTTTAGACAAACTATAAACGATTTTAGGGTGATTTGAAAAAGGACTGGGTATTTGAAGAGATGAAAAGATTATATATATGGAAAGACAGAGATTGTTAACTTCAAAGCAGATTATGAAACAGTATGTGTAGTATTCTTTAATTTTAAAAAGCTACAAGACGCATATATAAAATTATCTGGACGAGATATACAATATACAAATATCTGGAAGAATATACACTAAGGCATAAACGAGATCACTGGTCATCTCTGGGAGGTGAGAATGTGGACTTTTTATTTCCTTATTCTCGATTATCTTTTTTCCCTATAATTATCTATAATGTTCATATATCACTATTATAATAATGAAAGATTTAAAAAATAAATTCTAGTAATTAAAAAAAAATCACAGGCTTTCAAATCAACTTTCAAACTTTGTTCTTCCTGGCTCAGTGACTTGGGGTCTATGTTAACTGACATTTTGAGCCCCAGGCTGTGGATAAAAATCCCTGCTGTGCGGACTCATCAAAAGATTAAGAGAATGGCAAAGGATCAGTTTCATAAGATTTCAAAAATTCATGACATTTGAGAGAGGTTGGCGACCCTTTGTATGGGAAGGGTCCCAGGCAAAAGAGAGATGTTCCTGGTTGGAAATCTTTGTCATCTCTCCAGTCCCAAAGCACTTCCTCCCCTGCCCCTCCGAGGCCATCTGACTGCCTATATGCAGGGGTCTTTTCAAAGTGAGGCAAACCTGGAGTTCTGGTGACATCTTGTGTCTGCACCTTGGGTGAGCATGTCTCCTGCTGTTTTGTCCATGCCTGGTCCTTGTGCACTTTAACCCAATTCTGCCCGTGACTAAAGAAAGCCTTATCTCCCACTGGGCCCTGTGCCCGCTCTGCATTTGCTGGAGACCAACTCTCTTCAGTGTCCCTGGTCAGATTCTCTCTTTCAGGCCTTTGCACAGGCTGCTCCTCCTCTGGAATGTTCTTCCTGGACACCCTATTTCACCTGGCAAGCCCTACTCCCGTTCCTGGGGTCAGAATAGATGTGTCCTCCTCTGGGACATGTTCTCTGAGTGCCAAGGCTGGCTGGCGCCCTTCTTCAGTGCTCCTCTGAGATGCCCTGGCATCTAGGCGCAGGCTGCCCTGTACCCAGCCCAGGGAGCTTATTGGGCATCCACATTTGTGGCAGGGATGGGGTGAGTGCTCATGCCCCTCCAGGCCGAGCCAATGCCCAGCTTTCCTGCTGGGTCCCTGTACTCTGAATCTGCCTTTCTCTTCAGGCTGGTGGGCTCACTCCTCCGTGCCACCCCTGCCTTACCATCAGCGCAGACCTCCGCTACTGCTCCCTGCAGCTCTGTCTGCTCCGCTCTGCCTGCACCTGTGCCCTTGGAGGCAGCCTTTGGTCCTGAGGCCCAGCCTCAGCATGCCCTCGCGTCTACACGACTGAAGTCTCTGAGGACGGGGTCCTCTCAACTTCGTACTTCCTCTTTGGGAACCTTCTAGACCATCTCTGGTTAATGGCTCTTCTCCTTTCCTTACTCTTCAGCCAGTGCCACGGCAATAATTGGACCTGGGCCAAGTCCTGCTGCGTCAGAGAGGGGAGCCCAAGGCGTCCCCCAGCTCCTCCCCAGTACCCAGGGTGAACACCAAATGCTGGCGTCCCCCACAATGCCACTGGAGCAGACCACCCCTGTGGGCACTGCCCTCCCAGCCTGTCCCCAGGGTACAGGTGGTGACTCACAAGGGAGGTGGGTGTGGAGGAGGTGCTGCTTGGCTCCACGTCAAACACTGTCTGGATCTCCTCCTCCTCAGTCTGCAGCAGGGAGAGGGAGGTGGTCACAGAATGGGGGTGTCAGCAGGGAGAGGGGAGGTGGTCACAGAATGGGGGTGTCAGCTCTGCGTCCCTTCCCTCCCCACATGCAGAGGAGCCTCCTGCCTGCAACTGGGCCTCTCATCACCCTGAGCTCAACTCATATTCTGCGTGTCCTGACCTTTAGCCAGCAGGGCTAAAGTCCAGGGGGACAGAAAGAGGGCTGGGATACCAGAGAGTCTCTTCTGCAAAATTCTATTCCAAAGGCCTGTAATGGGGGGACGTAAGCAGCATTTAAATTGGGGTTTAAAGAGGAGCCTGCTTTGTTTGACTCCAGGAAAAACCTTGACTTTGACATTGTCTTCTTTCTTCCTGGGATTTCTCTCCATATTTGGAATTCATCCTAAGCCAATACAGTCTAGGTCTCCGGCTGTCCTCTTTTCCTAGAGTGGACGCTTGGGCAACCAGACCACATGACACCATTGTATTAGAAAGACAGAGCTGGGGTGGGAGGTCATTCACACTGGCCCCTCACTGGCATGGCACTGCAGCCCGATGATGGAGGATGAAGGCCAGGCAGGGAGAGCACAGGTGCCTGTCCCAGGGCCCTGGGGACACCAGAAGCAAGAAGATCCTCCTCCAAGATGCTTTCTCTTCGGACTCAGCAGGATGTCAGTACTTAAAATCAACTGTCTTTTCTTTATATAAATTCATTTAAAAAGGAAACAATCACTATTGTAAACAGTAAACCTGTGCCAGTTGCTATAAGCAGAAACTTAAAAATAAAATGTGACTGTGAGAAATGAAAAGCCGCGTTTTCTTCCACCCACTTTGGGAAATGCTGGTATAGAGCACGATGTAGGCACGGCGTTGAAAAGGTATGGACTGGCTCCCTCCTCTTACGCAGCCTAATGATTAGGCTGGACCCCACTCCCAAAGAGCCAAAGGAGGCACGGGCCAGGGGTGCCGGTTCACTAGCAAGTTCAATAGCCTGGATTTTTTTTTCTTTTTTTTTTTTGCCCAGGCTAAAGTGTCGTAGTATCAACTTCAAACTCCTGGGCTAAAGTGATCCTCCTGCCTGAGTAGCTTGGACTATAGGGTTGAGTCACCACTTCCAGCTAATTTTTCTATATTTAGGAGAGATAGGGTCTCACTCTTGCTCAGGCTTGTCTTGAACTCCTGAGCTTAAAGGATCCTCCTACTTTGGCCTTCCAGAGTGCAAGGATTACAGATGTGAGCTAGATAGTCCTTGCTCAGCCCTCCAGCCCTTGGAATGGTGCTCACAGCTCAGTGGCTGGACTAGACTCCCATCATAGAGTCCACTGCTTGGAGGAGGGGTCAGAGGTTAGAAAAGGAAAGGGCAGCTATCTTCTGGGTGGGGGAAGGGCCTGAGCTAGTGCAAGGCATGTATGTGTGCATGTGTGCACACATGAGAGCTTGCACGGAGCTTGCACACCCACAGTCAGAGAGAAAGGTGAGACTCTTTCCTCCTGGAATACTGTGGGTGTGCAGGCCAGGACGGTGTCCTAGACCTGTGTCCCCCAGGGGCCAGGAGAACCAGTAAGGAAGGGCAGGTTGGCAACTCACCGGGACGTCAGTGGTCATCCAAAACCTACCCAGAAAGATGCCAAGAAAAGCAATTATTGTGGAAATGAGGAGGTTGGTCATGGAAAAAATGGTGATGGTGTGGAGGATACCTGCCAAGGAGAAGAAAAGGCCATGGGTAAGTGTTTGCAAGCTGAGCTGTCACCCCAACCAACAGATCCCTGGGGATCATCTCAGCACTTCGGCAAGGGCTGAGAACTGTTCTACTTGATCAGTTAGAATTTGGCATCTTATAGATTCCTCAAAAGAAATGTTTTCATTGACTTAAGTACCCACTTAAGTGCCCATGAAACATGTCCTTCTGACCTACCCCTGGGAAGTCTCTTTGAGTCCCCATTTCTGCCACTGCTCCCAAACAATCTCCACTCTCCACCTCTCCCTGCAAGCCCTTCCCAAGTTAGCACACTCAGATACTCATGCTATGGCACTGATGAGGAATCCTGAATGCAAAAATCATTTACATTTCATTTGGGTATCTTTGGTCCCCCTTTTATGGTAGCAGTTTTCTAACTAGGTAAATATCAACAATTATTCTTTTCAGTCAAAGGCCACTAGGCCACTGCTTCCCTTTGCTCACAGCAGTATGTTGTAGGAGCAAGTGACAGTAAACCACTCCACTGGGAAGGTTAAGGTCAAGCATCCAGAGGGAAGGTCAGTGGAATTGGGGGCTGCCTGGGGGTACGAGTCCCTCCCAGGGGGTTAAGCTGGGAGATTCTCCTCTGTGGCTTCTATGAGGTGTCTCTGTGCCCCTTGAAGCTTTGTGTAGCCAAAAAGTTTCCAACAGCCCATGAAACCAGGCATTTTTTAGCACATTAGAGGAAATGTCGTGGCCATTGAGCCCCAAATAGCTACTGTTCTATTTTCTGCCAGGCTGGAGTCAGAATGAAGGAATATGATGTTTCCTGTCCTGAAGGGCTGGAACCCAAATCCAGATAACTTGGACCATATGCGTCCAGGCCCTCCCCTTAGCCTCAAAATTCTGTCAAGATGCTGATGCATGCACTGGCCATGGCCAAATCCAGCAAGCCGTGTTGTGTTGTCCCTCACAGAGAGTCAGTGTTAAGGAGCTCACAGAGCAGTGGGACAGGTGGAGGGGGTACCTACCTAACCGCAAGATGGAGAAGAAGAGCATCCAGAACAGGCCCAGCAGTGGCGCGAAGATGGCCTGGGAGACAGCAGCCATGTGGATCTGCTCGTTCAGTTTGGTGGGTGCAAAGGAGTAGTACATGTTATAGCGATCTGTTAAATGCTTCAGGCTCAGGTAGATCAGCCCTGGGGGGCCAGAAGACAGAGACATACTCAGGGGCTACTTCAGCAGTTGGGACCTGTGTCTGCCACCCCAATGTGCCCACAGACTCAGAAAGCCAGATTCAGTACTATCATCAAAGTAACAAGAGCCAAGGATGACAGCCAGCTCTGGGATGCTGACCTGCTGGTCCAGCATCTTCCCTTGAGTTCCCAGACTGTGTTCTTCCAGCTTGCTCACAGTCATTCATTCATGCTTTCATGTGACAAACATTCTGCAGCAGCAGCCATCTAACCTCAGCTCCCTCCCTCCACCTTGGCCCTGACACCGCCTCATGTGCCAAGAGACGGCCTTATGCTGTGGGTCTCAATTCCTCCTCCAGTCTTGAGAATGTGCAGTCCTGGGTGTTCCCCAGTGATGACTCACCGAAAGGGACAATGATGGGACAAGTAATGCTGTATCCCATCACCACGGTGAAGACGTTCATCATCCACGCGTACTCCCGCCCATACTGGAAGTCTATGGCCTGGTTCTGGGACAGAAGGCAGGGTCACCTGGAGGTTACCCAGTCCCCTTGGCCTGGTTACCCCTGCAGCTCTCATAGGCCACCTGGGTGCTAGCTGGCAGCTCAGGCCTGGAGATAGCCTTCCTGTGGACCCTGGAGTCCCTGCCACAGCCAGTCATCCATGCCATCCCTCCAACCTCAGGTTGCTCAGGGCTCCCAGCAGGCCCCTCCCTGACACTCTTCCTAGAGACACTGAGGGCTGTGCTCAGGGTAGGACCTGGCCCTCACCTTTCTGATGTGGACTCTCTCTGGCTCCGACCTGGAGAAGAAGAGGCGGGTGCTGTACCAGCAGAGTGACCCCAGGCGCAGCAGGTCCATGCCTGTGCCAAGGAAAGCTGCCGTGATCACATAATTGACGAAGAAGGCACCATTGTCGGGCAGGAACACACACCTAGGCAGAGGGTGGGAGGCGGGGAGGAGATAGCAAAAGCAGCCAGGGGGCAGGGAAAGGGGAGAAATGTGAGAGGGAGGAGGAGAGAGGAAGAGAAAATCAGCAGAGAAAGCGGAGACAGATGAGGAGAAGAGTTTCACATACACAGATGATCAATATCTCCCCAACCCAATTTAAGTTCACAAGAAGCCTTTTGAGCAGGGCTGGGCATGGACCACAAATGTGGATATTTCAGGGGATCCATGCACGGGCTTGATCTAAAGCAGGGTGTCTGACCCGGGTCCACAGACTCCAGGGAGTCCGTGAGTGAGAATCTGGGGCTCTGTGGACCTTGCATGGGAAAGAAAAGTTACATCTTTATTTTCATTAATCTCTATTTTTTAAAATCTCAAATTAATATGAGGGTACAAATGTTTAGATTACCTTGTTCTCATTTCCAGGGAGAAGCAAAAGAGCCCCTCACCCAGGGGGTGTGTTATACACCCTCACAACGTGCACATTAGGTGAGATCCCACCTCATGCCCTCCCTCCTTCTGCCAATCATCTCCCCCTCTCCCCCTTCCCCTTGCCGCCTTCGCCTTCCTCCGTATTAGACTATATTTGTGTTCATTAATCTCTAACTGAAATTTAGCATTTCCTTCCATTAAGAATACAGGCAGCAAATCCCAGGGGTGTTCACAGGTGAGGTGACTTTATCATCACTTGAAGTCAGATATTTTCTTGCCACCTTGCAGTTACTCTTGGCATCTTACGGCATCATTTGTATCCGTCATCATTTCAAAATGATGGTAGGTATGTGTATCAGACAGGCTGCTAAGTTCCGCACCATTGAACTTCTCCTGGCTACAGATGTGTAATTGACACAGCTGGTCAACTTCCACTAGGAGTTATTGGGACGGTTGCCTGTTACCTCTGCTGCTTTCCAGTGTCCTGGTCTACAAGATTCTGTCATCTTTCTTTCTGTCTTCCAAAAGTGACACCTGCAAGCTTCTGAGCATATTTCAGAACTCCTTCAAACGCTATTCTTTCTTAATGGCATCAGAGTTGAGGCATAAACTCACAACCCATTTCTTTCTCATACATAAACTGTGTTGAAGATATTGGCCTAGTCAAAGATGAACACAATTATCTTAGAAATAAAAACGGAATACAACGATAGTTTAACCTTGGAGATTTCTGGTCCTTGCCTTAGGCCGCAAGCTGTGCAAACCTGCATGTCATGCCCAACATATATTTGAAAACTGAGATGGTCAACACTTATAACCACAAAATAAAAGATCAAAACAGGCTACGTGTCTGACATGAACTGCATGTTGCCTAATCAAAGATCACTCCCTAAATTAGTGTTCTTTTCCCATAAGTAAGGTCAGCATTCACACTATTTTTAAAACAATAAAATGTAACTTTAGCTTTCCTATATTTAAAATGTTGTTCCTGATGGGTTAGAAAGTCTGTGTTGCGAATTTGTTTTTAAAAATATTTCGATAATTATAGGCGGGTATATTTGTTTTCTTTGCAATCCTTTTATTTTGTACACTTAAAGACATCATTTGGAATACACGTAAAATTGGCAAAATCTGGGTTTTTTTGTGGATTGTACCAATGTGCATTTTCTGGTTTTGATACTGTGCTATAGTTAGGCAAAATGTTGCCAGCAGGGGACACTGGATAAGAGTACATGGGATGTACCTCATATGTGAATCCATAATTTTTCCAAAGATGTCATTCTGAGAAGGGGTCCCTGGACTTTACCAAATTGCCAAATGAGAGTGCTCACGCGCGTCTGTCTATACCTCTGGGAGCAAATCAGGTGTCGGACTCTGGGAAGGGCACCCATATCCACCCCAGCGGAGCACACAGACCCCCCTGGGGCACCCATGGGAGTACTCACTGGAACCTGATGGATGCATGCTCTAGATAGTAGATGTCAAACAGCCAGCGGAAAAAGACATTCAAACTAGAAGCAAGAACAGGGCAGGCCCTTTAGTTAAAGAATCTCTGCCTGGCTTCCCTCCTTCCATCCTCTCCTGCTCTATCCCCAGAGACTCTTGCCTTGTTGCAGTCGGCGAGTCCCTCTTCTTTCTGAGTGCTGGGCCACCCCTGCCTTGAACCCTTGGCTTTCAGCTCAGGGCCACCTCCTCCAGCAAACCTTAGCCAGCCATTTCTCCCGCTGTGCTCACTCCCCCTTCTGAATTTCTCCTGCTTGCTGGCTGCATCTTCCTACCCTGGGCCATGTGTCAGCTGGCAGGCTGGCCTTGTGATGAACTCTTTGAGGGTAGCGTTCATGGCTGACACATTAGAGTTTGCATGATACCTGGTTTATCTATGCCCATGACAGGCACAGGACTGTCATTTGAGCAGTGGACTTGGCAGCAACCACAGGTAGGCCTACGGCGTCTGAAGGAGGAGAGTCTAACCCTAAGGCGAGCCTGGCTGAGAGAGGAGGCATAATTGGAAGTGAGATACCTGGTCAGTCCCATAGAGGGCAAAATGACCACCATGAACACCAGAAATATGTAGCACTTGTGCACTATGATCAGATTTTGACTTGATCTGGAAGGAAACAGAGAAATTCATCAATGTGTGGGACATAATAAGAACTACAGGCCTAACTACACAATGGAAAGAGAGATATATATACATGTGTGTCTGTGTGTATGTTCAGACATGAGAGAGAGAGAAAGGGACAACTGTCTGGGCTCGGAAACTGGTTTAATTGTACAGACCAGTGCTAGCTCCACAAAGCACCATTAGCTATGTTGCATCTGGGAGCAGTAGAGAAGATCAGCAGGATCAACTAGTGATGTCTGGACTAGTGATTCTTCCCTGGACACAGGAAGGAATGAAAGAGATAGCTTGTATTTGACATCTCTGTGTTAAAGAGACATTACCAATGATACTTGGGATCCCCATGGAACGTCAATGATTCTTACAAGCCTTGTTCTTGGCCAGAGGAAAGGTCAGCAAGGTTTTCTGTTAGGACAAAACTTTTGACTTGCTGTCTGGCACAGTGGTATGAACTTTGGTGCAAGAGATACCTTTTGAGACACATACAGACTTCAGGCCAAGGCAATGCCATCTGCCCAGGATATGGTAAATATTTTCTACCCAATTAGCTACCACTATAGGGCTAAGAAATAGAAAAGCTCCTGATTGTTTAAAATGTTGGCACTGTGAAGGCCAAATGTGTCAACAGTTGAATTGAATTCACAGGCCTCTGCCACGGCCATAGCAGCCCACTGGACATGCTTTCCTGGACAAGTCTTTACATCCTGTGTTTTCTGCCTGGAACTCCTGGCCCCATCTACCTTGTGCCCACAGCTCCATCCCTGCAGTGTCTGACTGGGTGCTGAGGGAACAGCCTACAGAGGGGTTGGGTTTGGCCCCTCACCCCTTAGATGGTGGCTCCATCTCAGCACCTCTGAGGATGGAGGGCCAGAGACAAACCAGGCCCTCCTTCCAAAGTGGGAAACACCTTTTGGTGTTTGGGGGCAGATTTGAGCATTAAGATCATCCCAGATCCATTCTCCTCCTTTTGCCAGGCTGATGGGGGTGGCTAGGGGAGTAGGAAAGGACGCCCCAGGTCACCTGGTCCAGTGAGCCTCTAGGAAGGCAGAGAAGTAGACGATCAGGGGCAGTATCACCGTGAAGGCCCAGAGCATCACGGAGGGGAAGAACTGGGTCACGATCGGGCTCTGTGGGTCAGAGGGGAGGAAGGCAGGAGACATGTCAGTGTCAGGAGACTGTCCCTCTTGCAAGCTAGCCCTGCTTCTACTGTATCCCTCTTTTCCTCCAGCTCAATCCCAGGGCAGGCTGCCCTCCAAGAGACTGAGAGGGAACCAGGCTTTCCTTCCATGCCTTCCTGTCCAGGGATCTGCCTGGCTGGGGGCAGACAGAGATTGACACTTCAAGATTAAGCAGAGTCCCTGAGAGGCCAGGGCTTCTACATTAAGGTCACTGGAGGGGCAGTTTGAGCACTTCACACTGAGGCTAACTACAGTCCCTTGTCTCCCACATGGGGACGACACTGTGCTGTGATGATGCGTGAGCAGGGGGTAGCGGGGTGGGGGAGGAGAGTCCTCAGGGAAGGCTGTGGCACTCCCAGGATGCATGTTGCTGGGGGCCTAAGAGGACAAAAAGTCAGCAGCAGTAGTGTTGCTTGCCGTTGTGTGCGAGTGTGTGTGTGTTTCTGGGAATGGTGATGGGGATAGTGTAGAAGGAAGAGCGTTCTCGGTTCCTTGTAATGGCCTTGAAGCTACAGAATTGGAAAATGGGCCAATGCTTCCTCTGAGCTGCACTGTCAGGAAGAGGTGCCCTCCACCTTCAGGGATGGCTCTGGAGGGGCCGAGGGCTCCCAGTCTCGAGAGGAGGTGTCTAAACATGGGGGAGGTAGCGACAGGTCTAGAGTCCCACTTCCCTTACAGGGCTGTGTGGGGACTTAGCTCACTCTCCTCACCCTCAACCCTACCACTCAAACCAAGAAACTTCTCGCCCTAGAGAACTTGTGGAGAATGAAGCTGTTCACACTGGCCACACTCTCCATACTTCTAGCCAGCCTACGATGACCCCACCTGAGCCCATGCTGACCAGGCCACCCATTCCCCCAAACTCACCCCAGGAACCATCTACAGCTCCCTCATTTCCTTTCCTCTCCAGCCCCATCACTGAGATGGGCGATGACCCACCTTTATCCCTTCAGATGAACGCTCTGCCCCACCATTTACACCACTGCCACCTCCACAGTGCTGGGGTATCTGGGTCCCCCAGCCCATCCTCGCCTGAGTTTTTCCTTGATCTCCCTGGGGCCCCCAGACCTGGCCTGAGCAGAGGAGGCACCTGCAGGTTCTCGATGGGGCGGGTGACGTTGTACATGTCGATGGTGTTTATGATGATAGCAGGCGTGGTGAGGAAGAAGAAGAGGAAGAAGAGGAAGGTGTTGATTGCAATAAAGCGGGCCCACCAAAAGAAGCGGCGGACAGACAGGTGTTTCCTGGGATGGGTGGGAGGCACACAAAGAGACAGGTGTTAGAGAGCCCGACGCGATCTCCTGCATGCCAGCTGTGGATCCAGGCTTCCCTGCTCTAATTCAGGTCCCTGGACCCAAACCTGTGTGCAGCAGTTTGAAATGGCTCTAAATATATTGCACAGGTGAACCAGAAATGGATCTGGGCTGTTTCTTTTTTTTTTTGAGACAGGAGCCTCAAGCTGTCCCCCTGGGTAGAGTGCTGTAGCATCACAGCTCACAGCAACCTCCAACTCCTGAGCTCAAGCGAGTCTCCTGACTCAGCCTCCCGAGTAGCTAGGACCACAGGTGCCCACCACAATACCCGGCTATTTTTTGGTTGCAGCCATCATTGTTGTTTGGCGGACCAGGGCTGGATTTGAACCCGCCACCTTGGGTGTATGTGGCTGGCATCTTAGCCACTTGAGCCACAGGCGCCGAGCCTGGGCTCTTTCTTTAGGAAAACCCTTTTCCATAGGCACTGGGCATCTTCCATGCTTATGGGAGTGAGCTCGGGGTAGGTAGAGACTAGTGCTCAGGAGAGTTAGTGACACAGCCCAGTGGGGTTGTGAATTTAGACGGCACTGGGCACAGTCCAGTCCAGGGAGAGGGGGGCCCCATCTTGCTGCCTGCTCAAAGGAGAGGGGGCATACCAGACAATGTCTTTGGGGTGTGGGGCAACAGTGACCCTCCAGCAGTGGGACTTGACGATGGTAGTCACCGAGGACTGCTGAGGGTGCATGCCACACTGGATGTACTTGTAATCATCCCGGACGCTGCAGAGACAGAAGAGGAGGAGGAGACAGAGGTCTGGGGATGCAAGGATGGGCTTAGGAAGGTCTCCTGCCTGGGTCCCAGGGCTGCTACGGCCATCCCACACAGGGGGAGCACATATCCTTCCTGGGGATTCTTGAAGCTTTGGCTATGTCTCCCAGGATGTTACAGGTGGATAGTCCCTAAGGCCCCAAATATGGAGGGAAGGGTCATTCAAGGGTGCATAGGCTGCCCAGGAAAGGGAGGGGTACCACATGGCTCTCAGTCTCTGCCTTTCCTCCTTAACGACACGGATATGTTCTTTCTTTGAGATTGAGGAGGAGGGACTAATCTTAGCCTCATTTTAGTATCAGTGACTACCAATTATTGAGTTCTTCATATGTAGTAATTGGTGATTAATATAGTCTCAATCACATGGATCACTACATTGAGTGGCCTAGAGACACAGTAAAGAGGGGCAGGCCCTGGCCCTGGAGCCCTGCCTTTGGCCTTCTAACTCATATTATACCCTGGTTAAGCCTCAGGTCTACTCTACCTGGAAATGACGTCTCTGAAAATGAACACTGTTATGTTATGTGGTGTATTGCTTTATACAACACACACACACACATTAAATAGAACACCCTCTGGGTGGTGGTCAGGGCAGATATCAGTCACCAAATTTGACAGATATGAAGTCTGAATGCAAATAACTCGCACAGTTGAGTACCATTATCTGTGACTAAAATCTAGGCTGCTCCACTATCCCTTGGTAGAGTTGGGCCGGGTGAGGACAAAGTGCATGGTCAGCCTGCCCCAGGGAGAGGAGGGCTCCACAGTCTTCAAGAGACTGATTCAGCCCTCCCTTAGGACTTTGGCTCAGTCCTAAGGATCCTTCTAGAACATTCCAGGGTAGACCTAATACACTCCCTATTGAGGTGGGACTGCTAGAGGCTTGGACAGAGAAGAGAGGAGCCGGAGGCCTTTGAACTGGGGGAGGCCCGTAGCAGCAGAGGAAGGCAACAGGGAGAAAACAGAGCATCCTTATCCAGGCTGGAAGACGAAGCACAGGGTCAAAGGCTACTCTGACCACCTCTGTGCTGGAGCAGCGACACGGGAGTGAGGAGATCAGGGCTGGGCATCTCTAGGGACCAGCTGGCCCTGGCAGCTGGGGAATTGATCAGCCATCTCACTGGGGAGCCAGAGGCTGGCATCCCTTGGGGGGCATGGAAGGGCTGAGGGAAGGTTGGAATAGGGCAATACGGAGCGAGACTCACTCCTCCACCCCTTGGAGGAGGGGTGAGAAAGGATAGTGAGCAGAGGTCCACCCATGGAGGCAGCAAGCCACTGCCCTGGCACTCACCGCTTTGCCATACTCGCATCCTGGAAGGTGACAAAGATCAGGTCAAGTCGCTTCAGTAGGACACGGTTGAGCTCTTCATTGAACTCATCAGTCAGCTGCTCCTCCAGCTCACTGTAGTACTGCTCTGCGTCTACCTAGGGCCAGAGGTGCCCTCAGAGCTGGAGAGGCCAGAGCCCTGGACACGGGTGCCTCTCTCCTCAGCAGCCCAGGGGGTGTGAGACCTTGAAGCCTGGCAAAGAGCTCAAGACCCTAAGTGGGCTCCAAAGTCCCACCTCTAGAATAAAAGCAAGTTGCTCCCCACCCTTAGATCTAGGGAAAGTGAGGCATAGCCAAGGGTAAGGGGGTGCTTTCAGACTTGGGGTACACATGAGAGAGGTGATAAGGTAGGTTTTCAGGAGGGGGGAATGACGTTTTTTCTGGACTGGATGGGATTTAGTCCTGCCCTGATTCCAAGTCTTGAGGCCCCCTCCAGACATAGTGGTCAGATGGTTGGAGGGTCATCTTCAAATATTCCTGTCCTATCTCTTTGGAAGTCTGAGGCCTGACAGCCTCCTGCAGCCAACTGTGTTCTTGTTGGTCCTTCCGTCTGGTCCCCCATCTAAGCCCAGTCTCCCCAGACTGCTGTGGAGGTGACCCCCCAGAAAGGCTGAGTCTCCTCTGCATGCTCAGCAGGGAGGCAGGGCACTGTGGAAGGGGAGGGAGGAGCCAGGGGCCAGGGCCCCAGGGCAGACCTGAATGAGGCCTGAGGCCCGGGGGTGTGGAGAAGAGCACAGGGCCTAGAACCCCAGGCCATCTCCCCTCTCTTTCCATCACCCATGCCCATGTCAGTTACCTCCTTGAAACAGGGCCAGCACTTGCAGAAGCACAAGCGGGAGCAAGGATGGGTCCTAATCATCACTTTCCCGGTCTTCTTGGCCCTGGCTGTATAGTAGAGTCGGCCTCGCATGGCGTGGCGCCTGCCAGTAGTAAGCGAGGGGGAGGGACCTTTAGTCAGGGGCCAGCAGAGACCCATCCTCCCCCAACTTCTACCCCCCACTCCAGACCCTGGAAGGCCCTGCTGTGGGCTCACCTCAGATCATCTAAGTCGATCAGGGTCCTGACGTCATAGCAGAAGTGGACTCTGGTCACCATGCACCCTGGATAGGCCTCGCTACAGCCACAAATATGGGTGCTGAGTCAGCCTGTGGGGTCCAGGATGTGCTGCCCTACCCTCTCTACCCATTGTGACAGCTCCGAGGTGGGGCAGCTCAATGGCCTAGGGGAGAGTCCCCACTTGCCCCTAAGGCCAGACTTCAGGGTTCAAACCCTGATAATCTCAGAGTTGCCAAATCCTACATGATTCAGAACAGGGCCCGGGGGCAGAGCTCCAACTACTGGGGAACCCAGAAGACAGTTGTTCACAAAGAGATAATTAGCTCAGTGGATGGTGGCCCTGGGGACAGGAACTTCAGGTCACAAAAGAGGTCTCCAGACGATCTGCTGTAAATAGCTGTGGTCTAGGGGCTCCCTGGACTCGGGAGCAACAGGGGAGAGGAGAAGCAGCACCACGCACATCACACCATGATGTGCAGGAAACCCTCTCCAGCCCCGGCGCTCCTCCCTCATCTATGAGCCCAGGGAGAGTCACCACCTGGGGCGTTGCTATTCCGACGCACATTACCGCCTCAGCACCTAGGCAGGGCTGCCAGGAGGAGGTGATCCCTGCTTTAGCCCACCCTGACTCACTTACTGAAAATGCCTCATGATGATTTCTGGATCTTGGATGTCTTTGGGAACATAGGTGATCATTAATGTCCTTGTGACCTGGGTGGGAAGGGTAAACAGAGAAAGGAGACTGTGCTTGTGTAGGAATCCCAGATATCTGGGTCTTCTGGGGGCTAGGGCTGCTGTTCCTAGCCAACCAGGCTGCCAGATGCCCAATCAGTGCCTCCCTGTGAGTAAGCTATGTACCAGCCTCTCTCAGCCTGTGGTGTGACAGCTGAGCCGGCAGCTCTGAGGTCAGCAAACCGTGCCTCTGTGATTGTCTGTGCCCCTGCTATGGGCCCCCCTGCCATGGATGGTTGTGGGCAGGAGGGCTGGGAGGCCATGGACAGGGCTGGGTGGAGGACCAGAGTACCATGAGTGGAAAGGGCAGCTCACACCCACTTGCTGTCCACAACAATATTTAGTCTCCCTGCAACTCCCACTGTTCTGGCATAAAGTGTTACATCACTAGATTAGACTGGCCAGGCTGGTTGGGAGGTGAGCGGTACTTTGGAGAGAAGATGGGGAAGCTTGCTCAAAACTTAATGTTGTATTTTATTCTGAGCCATCACGTTCAAGATGATAGTCTAGTAAACTGTGCTCTAAGATTCGGTCTCTTGGCAGAAGCCTCTGGTAACAATAAAGAAAACTGAAGTAGCTGAGTCTAGACTGGTCCGGGGAGACCAAGCCTCCATGCTTGGCAGGCTGAAGCACTGGGGACACTTTTCAGGGTATGTGGATTTGCACTCTGGGTGGGCTTAAAGGGAATCAGTCCTTTTGGATGGATGGCCTCCAAGGAGCTGACCCTACTCTAACGTACCTTTGAAAGGATGGGAGCAAAGAACATCATCCTCACTGTCACTGTTGCCTAAGGTGACCAGATTTTAACATTGGTAAAGCGGGACACTATTGACGGGGGGTGGGGTGGGGCCTGACAACAATGCAAACTTTGATAAGCAGTTCTGGATAATCATTTCTCAACAGTTATTTGTTATTATTACAGTTTAACATTATAAAATTAACAAAAATAATATAAAACTCATATCCTGGCAAAATAGCCACATGGTAGCCGAAAACCGTATAGTCCCTTACTGTTCTCCCACCCGTTCGTGCATTCTTTCCAAAAATCAGGACTTTTTTTAAAACACCGCAGGACGTGGGACAAATTGTTAAAAAGCGGGACATCTGGTCACCCTACTGTTGCCCTTACCTACCAGAGCATGGGTGCTAGGCCAGACAGGTGGCACTGCCGGGGCCCACTGTGAGCATTTGTCTCTGCACACCAAAGACAGCCACCTGCTACAATTGCTGAGCCCCTGCTCAGTGCTCTTTCCTGGCCTTGTTTGGCTTTTGTGCAGGGTAAGAACTTGAATTAGAAGAGTTAAAGCCCCCAAAGGAAGTCTCCAACCAGTGGTGGACAGGAAGTTCATGGAAAAATACCCCTTTCCCTCTAGGATGGAAAAATTCTGGAGCATGTATTCTATGCTGACCCCCAGATTTCCGGGTGGGGTTGGGCTCCAGCTGCCTGAGATGGCAAGGGGCCTGCCACTCAGTATTCCCAGGTATTGGCTGCCTTCTCCTCCCCTCTCACTTCCTTACTTGCCCACTGTCCTTTTCTGAGACCATCTCCCAAATATATGAATGCTACCCAATCCCTGCCTCAAGGTCTGCTTGAGTGGTGGGGTGGGGTCACCCACACTGAGACGGTGGGGTTTGCAGGGTGGGATGGGGGGTCACTGGCCTCTGGGGAGATTGCAGAAAAGGGTAAGGCATAGACCCAGTTGGTGTGGGCAAGGCCAGGCATTCAGCAGGGGTCCCTGGCCACTTAGGAAGGTGGCCTCCCACTGGCCTGGGGCCTTGTTAACTCCTTAGTTTGTGGATGGTGGGAGGTACAGGGGTCCTTAGAGAGGGGCCAGGGCAGTAGAAGTACAAGGATGGCGGGCGGCGCCTGTGATTCAATGAGTAGGGCACCGGCCCTATATACTGAGGTGGCGAGTTTGAACCCGGCCCCGGCCAAACCGCAACAAAAAATAGCTGGGCGTTGTGGCAGGTGACTGTACTCCCAGCTACTCAGGAGGCTGAGGCAAGAGAATTGCCTAAGCCCAGGAGTCAGAGGTTGCTGTGAGCTGTGATGCCACAGCACTCTACCAAGGGCGATAAAGTGAGACTCTGTCTCTAAAAAAAAACAAAAAACAAAGGATGGGGGCACTTGGGGAGCAGCTATTTGCCAACCAGTTTGGAAAGTTTCAGTGCGGATGGGGGTGGGGCTGGAAATGTGGGGGCAGGTGATTGTCCTCCAGGGCTGAAGAAAGGAGCTGACCCAGCTAGAGGGACCTCTCAGGATGTACCAAGGTGGACAGCTGGGAAGGCTGGGCTGGGTGGCCTGGCCGGGACGGGGCTCCACTGGGAAGGGCCACTCTGGCAGGGTGCATTTACTCACCTTTTGGCTCTTCTTGGGAAAAAACCCGTAGGTGTGATGGCCCATGAAAAAGAAGTTGGTGATGAAGTACAGGAAAGACAGGAGGCTGTGCAGCCAGAGCAGCTTGCTCCTGCCAGGAGGAGGAGTGGCAGCATCAGGGAGGCTGTTCTCCCTCCGAACGCAGAGCCCCAGACCCCACCGCACACCAGTCTCCCCAGACCCCCATCTCCAACACATCAGCCTTCCTGGACCCCCGTCCCACACCACATGCAGTCTCTCCAGGACTATCCTCTTGGAGTCCAGACTCAGGTGCCTTGGACGGGAACATGAGTGGCTAGGGGGGCCACCCTGGCTAATAAGGGCTGACATTTACTGAGTGCTCACTGTGGGCCAGATCCAAGGTGGGCCTGAGTGTCTACACGGACATTCTCATTAGACTCTCACGGCCATGCACGGTAGTACTGGATTATCTTCCTTTTACCCACAGGGAAATGAGGGCCAGAGTGGGCAGGTGACTGCTCAAGGTCACCCCTAACAGTGGCAGGGCCACTGGAGGTGAACCAGAGCTGCTGAAGTACTTAGACTTGTCACCACTATGTCATCCTGCCAGTGCTGGCACTGTGGCTCAGCACCCACCCCAACCCCAGCAGGCCAAGTGAGGAGGGGCTTGGGGCCATATGCAGGCCCAGAGGGAGGAGGGCCAGACAATTCACTACACCTCCCCTGGGGGGGAATAGTGGTGGCACCTGTGCTACGTTTGCCAACCCTGCTTTGGACTCACATGATGCTGTCCCAAGGCATCTGACCAGGATTATACTGCTCAGAAATAGAGCCCATCTTATTTGTTGTGGCTTGATGAGAGACAGCAAGGCCCACCTTGCTTCAAAATAATGGCCCCACTCCCTGGCCCAGGCCTGACTCACACCATAGTGTTCCCAGGTAGCCAGATCCTCGGTCCCCCATTTCCACAGAGGAATAAGATTACATGGGCTCTAAGGAACATTCTAGCTCCCTGCCAGGATGGATTCATGGTTCTTTACTGCTCTGTTAGAATGCACTTTCTCTTGGTAAGGTGTGGGCACTCAGGCCAGCCAGTAGCTGCTCTGGGTGGCAGCTCCCAGGGGAGGAGACGGCTGAAAGGGGAGGTGAGAGGATGCATGGCCCTGTTCTCCTGATTTTGGAGTTTTGGTGAAGCCATTCTGCTCCAAGGTATATCCCAGGGAGTGAGTGGAGGCCAGAGGGGTGGAGGTGGGGGTATAGCCCTGGCAGGGGTGTGTGAACCGCTACTCATACTTGAACTGCTTCTGTAGCTTTGTCAGGAAGTCAGCCAAGCCTGGCTCAGACATCTAGTGGGCCTCAGCATGGACCAGCGGGGCCACATTTGTCTCAGTACAAATTGACATTGCCACCAATTAGGTTGGCTGATGCTGAAACCCATTGGTTCCTGGGCTATGAGGGGAATGGGCTTAGAGATCATGGCCAACAGCTATTCCCCCACTGTGGACATGGATGAGGACCAATGCTCAGATCCCATCTGTGGGCTGCCCCAGATCCAGGGCCAGGTAATGGCAGAGGTGGGCATGAATCCAAGGCTCTGAGTTCTCGGTCCCTCAGATGTGGCTTCAAAGGGGGAGTATTGCCAGCTGCATGATTAAGTAACTCAGTTATGTGAGGGCAGACTTGAACTTACAGGTGGTCAGGGAAACAACATCTCAAACCTCTCTCGCTGCAGGGACTCTGCCTCTTGGGAGCTGGGCATACTAAGTAACTAGGACCATTCTTCCTCATCTTCAGGAGTAGCCTGTCTGGGCAGTACCACTCATGACCGATGATGCCCCAGAGGCACAAAGAGTACGCAGCACTGGTATCCCACCGAGGCCCTGGATTCCCAAGGAAACCAGGCCTTTTTCATCAGCCAAGTGGTTCCCAAGTTACAAACCGACACTGTAGATCTTTGCTCCCCACCAATGCCCCCAGCCAGTGGAACAGGAAGTAAGAAGATCAGGTACCTACTCTGTGGGGACATTGACAATAGTGGTCCGACCAAAGTGACTACTCCACTCTGAAAGAGAAGAAAGTTGCCGACCTTGACCCTGGCTCTTTGATTGCTGTGGGGCACCAAAATTCAGGATTCCTGGGTGACACGTGGGGTCTAGAGATGCTTTCCTAGATCCTGCTCTTCCTTCTGGTGCCCCAGAGCTTGTCCCCAGCTTCCAACTAAAACTTCAGAGGCCCTGGCGTTGATGACTGGGGCTCTTGGTGGGAATATGAGACCAAGTCTTTGTATATATCTCCATAACTGGCACATAATAAACACCCAGTGATTGCTCGTTGAAAGAACTGGCTATCTGGCTGTGCATAGACTGATGAGGTTAGCAACACATCATTACTCCAAAAATGTGACCCTGCTTCATTCAAACAGAGTAAATCTTTCTGGCTAAGTATGTCAGTCTGTTGGTTCAGGCATCTCACCAGCTCTTAGGATGAGAATTAGAAAGACAGAACTCACACAATATTTACTCTGGTGGTGGAACTGGGTGGCACAGATGTTCAAAGTACTACACTGAATTATTTAAGGGCCACCTCTGGCTGAAACAAGTAGAAACCTGAGGAATCATGGTAAATCTGGGTGTCACCTGCTGCATAGCCTTTCTACAGATCCATCCACCTTCGTGATTCCAGGGGAAATACTGGCAGCTGCCATTTCTCAGTGTCAGACAGTAAACTAGACGCTCTGTACATCGTCTCCAGTTCCCAAGACAGGTGAGGAAACCAAGGCTTAGAAAACCTGACTCGCCAAATATAAGATTAAATGATTTGTTATCTGGGGCAAAGGTATCTTCTGCGGAGCAGATGTGAGCAAAAGTGTGGAGCCAAGTTTTTTCTGTCTTTAAAGCCAAGTCTTCATCCCCAATGTTATCTTGTCCAAAGGGAGGACATCCCCAGTGGTGCTGTCTCATGTGCCCTATGAGACAAATTCTGCTCTTACGGTACTGTGTCCATCCCAGGAGGTCTGGGAATCTGTATAGTGGGTCACGTGTCACAAAAGGGCCTCCCTGAGCACCAGGCCAGGAGCAATGTAGGAACACAAATAAAAACTGAGCTCCAAACTGAATTAATATGACATGCCTGCTATATACCAGGCCTTGGGTCACACTTGTGATGGTGGGGTCATCTCTAGTCTCTATACCAGACAACCAGGCCTGGCTTGGCTAAGGTCACATAACAACAAGCTTCCAGAGACCGGATTGAAATCCAAATTTCTAGCCCTCCCAGCTCTTAGGTATTTACGGCCAGGCCCCAGGGCCTGCTGAGTTCTGCCTACCCAGAACATTCCCAGTGTAGTTGATGGGCAGGACAACGCCCAGGGAGGGGATGCAGATGATGAGCATGAAGATGATGAGGTGGTACTGGAATGTGACGTAGATACGCGCGTCATCCCCACACTTGTTGACCAGATCCTTGTCCCTGGAAAAGACACACAAACAGGGACAGGTTTCAGAAGCCAGTGTGGCCACAGCTTATGCTAGGGGCAGATGGAGGAAAGGGAGGGAATGTTATCCCCTCAACCTCAAGTTTTGAGTTTTTGGAAAATATCATCCTTCTTCTCAGAGCCTCTGTTTAAAGTGAATTTCACTGAATTTCCCAGATGTATCAAAGAGAGAGGCTATGTCACACATACACGCTTAGGAACCCAGAGGCACTCTTGTAATATAGCACTTGTTCGTCCTTTTATTACTTTTTCAAACATTTTGAGTGCTTGCTGTGGTGCGGGCATCAGACAAAGTGCTAGTGATATTAAGATACACCGTGTTTTTAAAAAGTTACTTAATTACTTAAACTGAACAATGAGATCATCACTCTACACTGCCAGATTGGCCAAAGCTAAAAAGGTGGACAGCAACAAGTGTTGGCAATGGTGTGAGGCCCTGGGAGCTCTCCTGCTCTCATGTCTGCACTAGGCCAGCCAGGCTGGAGAACGGTCGGCACTATCTACTGAAATTCAACACACGACGACCCTATGACCTAGTAACACCACTCCTAGGTTTATATCCAACAGAAATGCATGACATGTGCATCAAGAGACATGTAAGAATCTCTTAGATGCACTACTTATAACATCCTCAAACTAGAAACAACCTGAATGTCTATCAAAGGTGAAATGGATATAAGAACTGATATATATATATATATATAGATATATATATATATAGAGAGAGAGAGAGAAAGAAAGAGAGACAGATCATGCACATATATAAAATAAAACAATAACAGCCATAAAATGAATGACATAGCTAACTCACAAACACAACGGTGAGTTAAAAGATGCCAGCCACAAGATGACACGTACTGTAGAATTTCATACATAAAATTCAAAAATAAGCAATACTGAATTGCAGAGTTGGACATCAGAATACAGGCTACTTTTGAAGAGCGGAGAGACGGAGTGGGGAGGGAGCCGGGGGGCTTCTGTGGTGCTGGTGGTATTGTGATTCTAGATCAGGATGGAACTGGCATAGGGTTCACTTTGGGATCACTGAGCTACACGCTTAATGTTCTGTGAACTTTTCTGTATGTCATACCTCAATTGAAAAAGTCTACAAGCAGCACATGCTTATAGCAACTCTGGAAAATACCAAAGAGAAGGAAATCATTCATCTGTAATCTCATCAAGCCTGCGATGATGACTACTAAGCATCTGGGTTGATTTCCTTTAGTTGCCTGTAGTTGTGCTGCTTTTACTCTGTGACATAGTTCCAGACAGCATTTGCTGTGCTGCTCTTTTGCTTGGCATTTAGCCAGTTTGAAACATTTTGCACAGTGGTGACAGTGGCCTCCATCTCCACAGCACTGACTCATGTCCAGCACCTTGCGGGCCTCATTGCTGCCCTGGTGGTAACCACAGTTTCCCTACCCTCACCCCTCTGGTCAGGCTTCTAGGTTGTGAGCAACTTTTAACATTCAGTCCATGATTTTAGATTTTAAAACTACAAAAAGGACATCTTCAAAAGGTTTAGTAATCCCATTTAGGGAAGTATTTAGAACTCCTGCTTATTTTTTACTTTAAGCAGCCAAAATATTTCCTGTCCTGGACTTGAGAATTAAATGCCAAGAGTCGGAGGGCTGAGAACTGAAATGAAGGCTGGGTGCTGGACACAGGAGGCATCCCGCAGCAGGCTGGGACGGAAACAGCATACCTGAGGCAGGGGAGCTTCCAGAGCCTCCAATCAGGTGGAGAGAACAGAGGGCCACACTAAGATCACGGAATTTCCTTCCCAGGCCAGGAAGTCCTACCTTGGCCACTGGCTGGTTTCCTCTTTCCACTATTCTCTACAGTGTGCCCTCTGGGACCTTCCAGCGACTCCCCAAGCTTCGACGCTCCTTCATCTTTTCCCTGACCTGTTTCTCCTTGAGTTCCTGCCAATGTCTTCACCTCCCTTCCTCCCACCCACCTCTTAAGAAAGGTGACTTCCTTCTTTGCCTCCTCTTCTTGGACATCTCCTCATCCTGGACCTGCTGTCCCAGTGAAGAACCAGCTCCCCAAAGTTAGTGTCCTGTCCTTAGTTCTCCTTCCACTCAACCCCTGTGTCCCTGGAGGCAGCTGCCTTCCCCAGCCTCATCCTTGCCTGGCTTCAGGAATCCCATACCCCAGAGGACTGGTCTTCTTCCTCCTGCCTCAGTGAGGTTCTCCCTTGGGCCTTTTCTGATCGTCCCTCCTTGGACCAACCATCCACTCCCATGACTTCAACTACAACCTCTGTGCACTCATCTCCCATCTCTAAATCTCTAGCTCTGTCTGACCTTTGTACTAGGTTTTAATCCTGTTTTGCTTTTTTTTGGAGACAGAGCCTCAAGCTGTCCCCCTGGGTAGAGTGCTATGGCATCATAGCTCACAGCAACTTCCAACTCCTGGGCTCAAGTGAGTCTCCTGCCTCAGCTTCCCAAGTATCTGGGATCACAGGCGCCTGCCACAATGCCTGGCTATTTTTCGGTTGCAGCCATCATTGTCGTTTGGTGGGCTGGATTCAAACCCGCCAGCTCAGGTGTATGTGGCGCTGGAGCCACAGGCACCGAGCCTTTAATCCTGTTTTTCAATAGCTTGCTGGTCAACTCACATTCTTTTTTTTTTTTTCTTTTGTTTTTAAATCATAGTGGTGTACATTAATGCAATCATGGGGTACAATGTGCTGATTTTATATACAATTTGAAATGTTTTCATCAAACTGGTTAACATGGCCTTCACGGCATTTTCTTAGTTATCGTGTTAAGATATTTATATTCTACACTTAGTAAATTTCACATGTACCCTAGTAAGATGCACCGTAGGTGTGATCCCACCTCCTCTCTCCCTCCACTCATCCTCTCCCCTCCCCTTGTCAACTCACATTCTTGCCCAGACATCTCATTACTTTGTTTCCTCTCCCACCTAATGGCATGTCTGTCCTCCCCAGAAACCAGATGTCAATTTCTCCCTCTTTCTTAACCAGGTCTGGACATACTGACTGGAGCCCTACCATCTCCCTCCCATCTGTCCCCTCCCATTGTTTCTCTGGGTACAGCCCCAGGTCAGGTCACCAGCCCTCCGACTTCAATCATTGGAGTAGCCTCCTTAGCTGCTCACCTTGAGTTCAGACTTTCCCTAACTGCTATTCAGCCCATACTCCTGCCTATCTGCAGATATCATCCTGCGTTTCTGGCTCAGATATGCCGATTAATTCCTTACTGTCTCTAGATCAAAGCCCAAGATTCTCCATACAGTGGTCAAGAGCCCAGCTTCCAGACCAATCTTTTCTGCTCCCCGTTAACCCAGGGGTCTAGGCACTGATCTACCACTGGTTTACCAGATTTACCACTTCTGGACACTCCCTCCCTCCTCCTCTCTGCAGCAACCTCTTACCTACTCCTTCCCACTGTGCCCATTGAATCCTTCCTGTCCTTAAAGGCCTGGCTTGAAACTGTACCTTTCCTGCACCCTGCAGTTGGAAGTCATTTTTCTCTTTCCCAAAGGCCCTTCATGCAGCAGTAACAGCCTCCCCACCAGGAAAGCTATGCAAGGTGTCTTGTTAACCTTTGTTTCTCCAACATATGGGTTTGTGCACAGGACCGTGGTGGACTAGTCCCTGCCTAGTAAATGCATTACCATTTTCTATGACACTAACTCTCAAGAGGAGCTGGACACACAGTATGATGTCCTTGTCCTGCCTTCCTGCCTTCCCAGATAGTAGCTTTCCAATGGAAGGACCTCCCTGAGGAGACTTTGGGTGGGGGCAAGGGGTTGGAGGATGGGCAGGCAGGGCAGACAGACAGAGGATGTTCAGGGAGAGCCCTAAGGTGGAGGGGCTCTGCAGGGCTCTGAGGTGGAGTCAGCCAGGTGCACGCCTGCATCCATAGGCGAGTGTGCCTGTGAGTGTGCATGTGTACACGCATGCAACAGGAAGACAGACTTCTGACAAGCGTATGCCTAGTGCTGGGCAATCAGGAGAAAACAGGTGACTTGGGGCCCGCTTGCTTGCCAAATGTGGTCTGGCATCAGAGAGATCTAGACAACGAGGGAGGTGAGTGTTGTCCCTCTGCAGTCTGGGCCAGGAGAGGAAGCCTGTCCTTCTGCCCCAAGCTGTTGTTCCCTCTCTTAACAAATATGATGAATGATGTTCACAGAAGTCAAGGAAATAGTACATGGGGGCTTTCTTTTTCCCGCTGTGGCATTCAAAGAAGCCATTTTTACAAGCATGTGAGTAATAACTCAGCTTGTAAAAGGGGTCCTTCCCCGAAGGCTGTGGCAGAGACAACACTGGTGGAGGGCCATGTCCAGTTCCCACTTCACCCAGGAAAGTGTCCTCTGCCCATGCCAGGCCAAGGTGGTAGGTGGGGGAGTCAGGGTTGGGCCCGTCATCCCAGGATGGGGGCTGCTAATTCTGGCAGAAGATGCCACACCCCCAGCCCCAAGCCCCAGGCAACTGTCATGGCTCACAGAGCTCAGGCACTTACTTCATGGTCAGACTGTTGAAGAACCAGGAACAGAAGCCCTGGGGGGAAAGGAGAGAAATGTGAGAAAACTCAGGCCCCTGCTGGCCCTGACCAGCCCTGGGAACCCAGGCAGCCCGTTGGTCACCCGAGGTAGCTACAGCAGTGTCCAGAGGGGCCTCCATTCCAGGAAAGAGCCTGAAGGCTCAGTCTAGAACCTTGGAGGCTACTAAGGGGGATGTTTCCCAGCAGATGAGTGGACATCTCTGCCTTCCTATTACAGAAGGAGGCTTAGATGGCGGCCCTAGGACAGCATAGGGGAAGGGACTCCTTCTGGGGTGGACTCTGCTGCTTCCTTCTGTCCTTGTTGCTGCCCTCTGGGAGATCCCCCTCTCCGGATGGAGGACATCCAGTGTGCTGTTCACCAAGTAGGAGTTTGCTTCCAGGATTGGTGGGCCATTGTGAACAGGACCAAAGTGGGGCCCATTAAAATTCCCTTAAGAAGACGGAGATGGGTGCTGGGGAAAGGAGGGTCTCCTCCCTTCTTTTGTCTCTTGTTCCTGCACCTTAGTAAATGCCAGGAAGCCCAGAGTAGCCCAGTACCATCTTTGAGGCCATATGCAGACAACGTGTCTAAGGAAAAAGTCAGCGCAGCATGGAAAGGACCAGAGAGAGGGGTCCTGGTGGCACTGCTGGACTTCCTGGATCTAGCTATGCCTGAAGAAGTCACTGAAATTTCCCCAACTTGAGCCACAAATTACCCTTTTGTCTTAAAACTAGTTGGAGCTGGGTTTCTTCTCTTGCATCTGAGAGTCCTGCCCGGTTGAAGATGCCTTTTTATTGGACTCTTGCTGTCTAGTTTCTGGGTGGTGGGGAAAGGCAGCTGTAGTCACGGGGAGGTTGGTGGGGTGCTAGAGAAAGAGTCAGCTTGGGAAGGTGTGCATGATGGCGGTAGGGGCCGTGGCTCTAAAAGCTGCCAGAGCTGGTAGCTGTGTAAGTTACTCTGGTGCACGCTTCCTTATGGGAATCCGGGGGGCTTAGCAAACCCTTGGATAAGGCTGCAACTCTTGACTGGCCCGATTTGGGTCACTTGTTACTTTTGTGAACCAGGCACACCCACTTAAATGACAGTCCCCCAGAACCACATGGACAGGAGGAAGGACACTTCCCCAAAGCAACAAGGACAGGTAAAAAAGGAACAGGAGTCCCTTGCTTCTTTCGGCAGCAGGCCCACCTTCTAAGTCCCCTTCCCTGTGGCTCACAGTGGAAATGGCCAGTTGGGGGTGTTCACAGCAGGGGCACCATTTCTGCAGCTATGTCCTGGAGAGCTATATTAAGTACAAATGCTCAGGTATGCAGTCAGAGAGATGAAGGGAGACCACATGGTGGTGGCTGTAGCAATGGGGAACATCCCCAGGGAGGGTTGACCCGCTGGGCAAGAGCTGAACTGAGAGGTCCTGTCACCCCTCCCTGCGTGGAAAGTCATTTTCCACTGCCCACCTTGGGCAAACAGAGGTCCGATTTATTAATGGAACAGCAGGTTTCTTGATGGCCCGTCATGTTATGCCCAGGTGAGGACGCACCTTCCTGGGAATGCATTTCTGCCCCTTCCACAACAGGGGCACAGGTGTGTGCTAGAATATACACAGGGCAGCTCATTCAGGAAAGGGCAGAAGTCCTCAGAAGTAGTGTGGCCCATGTGCCCACGAAAACTACCCAGATGTGGGAGCCCGTGTGGATCCACCCCTCTCACACACTCCCCGCATACTTTGTAGCTCTGAAGGTGCAAACCACTCAAAGACTCAGCAGCTAGCAGCAGCATGAGAGGCAGACACCTCCTCCCCTTTGCTCCCTGACCCTGTGGAAAATGGCCACAAGTTCCTGGCAGCCAGCTCAGCAGATGAGGCAGTGACAGCAGTCAGGTCCTTGGGCCTATCTCAGTCTCCTGCCATCCCCACCTCCACCGCCTGAGGTAAGATACCAGCCCTGCCTTGCTCAGCGCACTATGGTGAGAGCATTCGCTTTGCCCACTCTGCCCAGCACGGCCATGGCCCCACCATCCTGGCTGGACGCCGCAGGGGCTACCTTGCTGCACTCTCTCTTCAGCTCGACCTCCTCACTGGTGCCACAATGATTTATCTTCTTAGGTTTTTAAAAATAAAATGATCTTGTTGTCATTGTAAAAGTGGAAAAAAGCAAATCAAAGTGATGTTTCTAAAGATAAACCTGAGAGCCAGCTCGCAAGGCAGGTGTTGCTGTCCTCATTCTACCAGGGAAGCCTCCAAGAGATGAAGTCACTTGTCTGCGGCTCCGCACTTGTACAGGTAGAACCTGCCAAGTAAGTGACCCAGTCTCTCAAGGGGAGATATGGAAAGAGCATGGTTCTCCTGACTTACTACATTTAACAGATATGTATCAGATGCTAATTATGGGACAGGCTGGCCTGGATGCTGGGGGACAGGGGTGACCAAATTCAAATTCTGGGCCTACTCTGATTAGGGGATTGGTTGTGCAGGTGAGGGTTGAGCATGTTGAAGAGAAGGAATGTACTTTCTGTAAGTATATAACACAGGATCTGGGACCAGGCAGCGTGGTCAGGGCTCCCTGGGGAAGTGGTGCTCAAGATGAACTCTGAATAAAGGGTGGGGACTTGGAGATGGGCCACTGGGGAGGGGGAGTGGGAAGAGCCTGGGACAGCTGGTGGAGAGGAGGAGGTAGCATCAGGGAGTGTCTGAATGAGGGGAGCATGGGTGTCACTGCCCGAGAGAAGGGAAGGAAGGCTTGAAATCAGCTGGGGGCTCCAGGTGTGGGGAACCTGGGGAGGAACAGACCCAGAGGTGGAAGAGAAACCCAGAGAGCCCCCGGGAGCACCTGAGCAGGAAGGGAAGACGCTTGTCTGACGGGGCCAGGTGGTTCTCAGAGATCAGGTGAGCTGCAAGCTGAGGAAGGCTGTTGGATTTGGTGGCAGGACCACCAACCTTGGGGGCTATCTGGGCGAGTGAAGGAGGTTGAGGAGAGAGTGGGAGGGGTGGGGAGCTCCTTAGCCCTCCTCTTTCCTGCATTCAGGGCCTATCTACCATGCCCACCCCTGGCCTGTAACCCTTGTTATGCAGCTCCTCCCCTCAGCCTCCCTCCTCCTCATTACCATTCTACATCATCTGCTGGGTGTCCACCCTGGAAGAAGGTGCCAAGAGGCAGGATCTGGTCCCCTGTGCTCTCTGCTCCATCCCCAGTTCCCAGCCCAGTGGCTGGCAGATAGCAGGGGCTCCAGGGTGAGCACAGGTGCAGGGGGAGGACTAGTGTTCCACGGGAAAGAGGAGGGACAGATTGGGCTTCATCATATGGGGACGGGAAACCAGAGGGGCAGGGAATCCCTGCTGGTGGGGGTCTTGAATCTTCTATGTGAAATGGGAGGTGAATCTTGGCTCGAGAGTGAGGCCTGGGGATGAGGGCAGGATCACGACTGTCAGAAGAGTTGGAGGTTGGAGGAGAAAAGAAAAATGACTTTTAAATAATCTCTAAAATAAAAAAAAAATTATAGATGTTACAATCAGTTAATACTTACCTGGTACCCTAGGAGGAAGGTACAGGCTAACAGCCCCATCTTTCAGATGGTCAGGCTGAGGAATTTGCCCAAGGTCATACTTCTGGAAGTGGCTGAGTCTGGCTGACTGCAAAGCCTCAGTGTCTGAGCCTGCTCCTTCCTGGGGACACCATGGCTGTGTGTTCAGAGCCAAGGCTCCCCCCAGGGCCCAGACCACTTCCAGCACTCACCTTGTCCCTGCGCTCCATCTCCAGTGAAATCTCCGAGGGAGAGGTCTTCTCACTTTGCTCCCCGTAGATCAGTGAGGTCATGCTGCCAGCCAGGGAAGGTGGTCGGAAGGCAGAGAAGGAAAGAAGAGTCCTCAGACCCTGCCTGGGCAGTAGGCTGCCATGTGCCCCTGCCTTGCAGAGGGTGTGCCTCAGCTGCTCTGCTGAACACGTGGCTCTGGGAACAGGCAGTAATCACGCCTGTCGCCAGGTGCACAGCACACCTTGCAAGTCCAGCCATGGGATCCAGCAGAAAGTCTGAGACCAGAGGAAAGAGTAGCCTGCTACCCAGAGATGGCTGCCCCCCCCCGCCCCAATCTCCTCCTAAGGGAGGGCAGAGCGGGGCAGGGTAAGGTGCTGAGATGCCACGGGCTGACAAGATGCCTGCTGCAGCTTGTGACCAGGCAGAGCCGCGTCTTCCCTCTACCCCGCCCTGCCCCACTCCTTACCTGTCATTGTGTATCAGCAGGGCCAGGCGCCCGTAGTCCCAGGCAGCTTTTCGGAGGAAGGAGTAAATCAGAAGGACGAGCTACAGGCCAGGAAAAGCCATGTGAGGCAGGAGAGTCCAAGGGAGACTGTCCCTTGGCCAGCCTCCTGCATCCCCAAGGGGGAGACCCTGTCCCTGAGGTCCCCAGGGAGCTCCCCAGAGACGGTGAGCTCTGTCAGGCTGGGCCATCCCTTTCAACTCTGTGCCAGCAGCTTCTGGGCACAGAGTGGATACCCTGAGCATCAGCAAGAGGAAGGAGAAGGGAGGCCCCTGGTGCCAGCCTGGTGGACCTTTGGGCAATGATGCATAGAAAAGAACCCCAGGTATTCTGCCTGTTCTTCCAGCCCCTTCTCTCCGAGGTCCCCTGGGCCTCTCACCTGGGCCCCCCGGGCAGGACTGACATTCTGGCAGTTTGCATCATTGTGGCTGGTGTCTTTTTGGAGTATTGGGACGCCCCAGTATCAATTGTGAAAATTTGACCATCTACCCCGCTGAGGTCTCACTGTCTGACCCCTGCAGTGCCCAGGACTCACCACCCACAGGCCGATATTGAGGAACAGCACGGTGGGGACACCCCCAAAGGGCTGCCCCTGGAGGACTGTGCTCCGAGCCTGGAAACACTCATCCACCGTCATGTTCTTCAGCTTCCCTAACTCATCCATGTTGCTCAGTGGGGCTGGCATCCTGGGAGGCTGGCTGGTGAACAGAGGGGTCTCCAAGTCAGACACAAGGGCTCCCCCATAGAGCCTGTGGGGAGCTGAGGGGATGGGCATGGAGCACGGAGCACACAGCCAGGTCGGGCCTGGGTGCTTCAGACCCAGAGCCAGATGGCAGGTTTGTGGTGAAAGTAGGCAGGTCAGCCCATGAGCTGCCAGCACCCTACCCTGTAGGAGGAAAGCAGCTCAGACCCAGAGCCATGATCCCAGAATAGCTCACATTCCCTGGAAAGTTCTCATTCTTTATACTTGACCTCTGTAAAGAGGTATAAGATGGACATCCAAATGGATTTTCTTATTTCTACTTTGGGAAACTTTTCTTGTATATAAAATGAACAAATCTCACAAAGGTGGTTCAGACCCCAGAGTAGAAATGTTAGAGCTGGCAGACAAAAGCACTGTGTTCATGGATGCCCATGCAGACGGGGTCACTGATGGCCATCTCTACATCCTACAATCCTCTGATCCAGTTCCGGGTAAATACAACAGCTCCTAAGGATGCACAGTGCCTGGCACACAGCAGTGACCCAGTAAAGTTCCCGTCTCACCTGGCATTTGAACCAGGGAGCGCAGCACCTGCCCAGGGGCCTGA